AATAAATGTTGTCACCCAGGATGGTCATAAATATCAGCTAGTAAAACTAATGAATATACCTATAATCATGTACATATGACTATCATATAATATGTTGTAATTCCTTTAAGTGTTTCAAATTAAATACATTTTTATTTTCAGGTGTACTTTGTTCAAACTTTATTTGAAACCTACACTATATGTAGTTGCTATGATTCAAATATCCAAAAGTGTGCCTTTTACTTCAGTCCTTATAGGCTCTTCCCTAATACACAGACACTTTATTGTGCCACTCCAATGTTCATTCAAAGTGATCCAACTGACATCTGAGCCGGTGATAATATTCAGCAAAGTATTGGAACTAGGAGTATATCAGATAAGTTGTTCATTCAGTCAAGATCTTGAGGTTGTGCTGATCATTATATCAAACTCCATTACATATTGTGCCTTAAAAACATATATACAAATTTTAAAACTTGTTGCAGCACACTGGGCCATTCCATCTAATATAGCCTCTCCCACACACACCCTATTGAGGGGTCTCTTCATAATACCTTAAACATTTTGGAACCTCATTGGATACATTTTTGGAACCCCCATGGATATCTTTCTAGCCCTTTAGGATATTGTTCCTGCCCCTTTGGTATCACTAAATAATTTGGTATCACACCTAATTTTTAGGAAATCTCTTAAGCTACCCTCTAGAAAAATTCTCCCCCCTGGTGACTACCACCAAAGCAAAATAAAAGCATGCTGCCCTGCTTTAGATAGAAATCAGAATAAATTTTGAAGCATTTCTACTGTTACTTGTAACGATGATCAGAATTGATGAGAAAATATAGAGTCTTTCTGTATGACTGTATATTAGTGATGTGATCTCACTGTTAATTAAAGGCTGAAATAGTTTGAAACTCGTGTGAAAATAAATTCAGTATAAATGTACAGTACGTACCTTGATATACAGAACAATCAATCAATATCATTTCATATTCCAGGCAACATATCAGTGTTTATTCAGTCGCATTTGAAGTCGAATAGCATCTGATATATACGAGGGTTGCCAAAGCGAACAAAACGATGTCACAAATATTAGCGCCATACTCCGACAAATTGATACAATATGATGATGAATGTTGCATAGTTTTGTGTACATGTGTGTTCACAGCTTATATCTGAAGTATTTTTCGTAAATTTTTTTAAAACTTTGAGAATAAATACATCAACACTCAACAAAACATGTATGTTTTTAAGCAAGAAAATCGTAAGCGCCAGCGCTAATTGTAGTCAGCAACATAACGTTGTCGTTACTGCGCATGCGATAAATCTCCAAGAATCTTGGAGATTTCATCGTATTTTACCAGGGTCTTCCTCAGCTCGCGCGCCACCACGAGGAAGACCCTGAGGACGAGGTTGAAAATAAATATTTCCACTCGCCGTATTAATTAACCACATAGAAAAAAATAACATATTAACACAACGTCAGTATGGTTTTAGGGAAAATAGATCCACTGAACTTGCAATCATAGAACTTGTTGACAGAATTACTAAAGCAATCGATAAAGGAGAATACACGATAGGTATTTTCCTCGACTTGTCAAAAGCCTTTGACACAATTGATCACAAGATATTGATCCAAAAACTTGATCACTATGGTATACAGGGAATAACTCAATTATGGTTTCAAGATTATTTAAGAAATAGAAAACAAGTTGTTAAATTCGACCAAATTAAATCAAAAGAAATGGTAATTAAGAGTGGTGTCCCACAGGGGTCAATTCTTGGGCCAATACTCTTTCTGCTTTATATAAATGATATTGAAAATTGCAGTAAATTGATTTCATTTATATTATTTGCAGATGACACTAATATATTTTATAGTAACAAGTGTCTAAAAACACTTAGTAATATTATACAAACAGAAATTGATAAAGTTGCTGAATGGTTAAATGTGAATAAATTATCTTTAAATACTACAAAAACTAAAGTTATTTTATTCAGATCTCCAAATAAAAAACCAAGTCAATTAATTAAAATTAACATAAATGGTAAAAATATTGAACAGGTTAAAAATACAACCTTCCTTGGTATTATCATTGACGAATGTTTGACCTGGAAAGATCATATAGCTAAGGTAACAAAGAAAATAGTTAGAGCTTCTGGTATAATAGCTAAAATGCGACACTTTGTGAACCGAAATTCATTAAAACTGATATATTATACATTAGTCTATCCATACTTGATTTATGTCAACTTGACATGGGGTAATACTTATAAAAGTAGAATCCAAAAAATAATGAATATACAAAAAAAAATTGTGCGCCTAATGACTTTCAAGTCTTACTTAGAGCACAGTGAGCCAATTTTCAAAGATTTAAATATCCTAGACATCTTCAAAATCAATGACTATTTAACTGCCTTATTTATGTTTCGATACCACCACCTTAATAATTTACCAGATTTCTTTAAAAAATATTTTTTAATAAACCACCAAATTCATGAACATAACACGAGAAATGCTTCAAAGCTTCACAAATGTTATAAAAGCACAAATTATGTAAAACACACTCTCTCAAATAAAGGAGTTGATGTATGGAATTCGTTAGAAACAAAACTTAATCAAATAAACTCCTATAACACCTTCAAAAAAAAAATTAAACAACATTTTCTGCTATACACAATTGCCAATATATAAGACATGCAATATATAACATGTACTTCTTATCTATATATATATAATATATAATACTTCAGTATATTGTAGCCCAATCATTGTAAAAATTCAAATGTATCTACAACATATTTAATTTATATAATACGAAAATTCTCCCTTCTTTTTCTCTTTTGTACATATAGTATATATACGTCAAAACTTTCTGATTTTACACATTGTATTGATTGACTGTAAATAATTAATGTAATCTATCGCAAATGAACAGTAACTAGAGGCCTAAATAAAAAAGTCTATCAAGATTTCTAGTAGGTCTCTAGCCCAAAATCTTTAAATTATTGTAACATATTTTAAGTAGCTTTTTTTATATATATACATGGGAAAACAATAAAAAAAAAAAACTCAAACGAAATTTTGTACACGAAAGCGCTTGAACACAAAGAGTATTTTACACATATAGCCGTTCCGCAAATTACAAAAAGTTCAAGAGATATTCAAGATCTTGTGAATATGAAATTTAGAATCTTAGGCCAAGCGGTGAGTAAATATATGATTGTTTCGGTTTGTGTTATTTCTGACGGCACTTGACCCCCCGTTCGAAAGGTTATTTGGTAAGGATTACAATGGTGGCTTTTATTTAAAAGGGGGGTAAATACTCGCCGAGATATTTATATTAGAAAAATTGTGTCCTAATGTAATGCGAAACCGCGCGGCTTGGAACGGTCGTGAAAGAGTTCCAGACTGGCAGACTGACCAAAAAATTTTTTCGGACTTGTCGGGCAAAATCGTGAACAGTCGGGCAAATTTCTTTCCGCCCCCCTAAATTTTTCGTTCCGGTACGCCCATGTGTGTCAGAGGATGTGCGAGAAGCAATTTTAAAACCTCGTTGTTTAAGTTTAGACTTGGTTGCCAAATCCCATGTGTCCATGCAATCAATGCCTCGGCATTGTTTGGGCACATGGTCATAGATTTAGGCTGAGCCACGTCTAAAAGAAGAACTCAGATCTGAAATATTACTCGTGAACTTCTGTGTGCTTTCTACGCTGCAATTGCTGCGGGCACGTACAGTCGAGTATTAAATTAAAAACCGTGCTGCATCGGAGTTCTTTTCGCGACTTTTCTTCCCGCAACGTACGCGAACGAGTGTGCCCATATGCACTATAAAATGTATGGGACGAAATACTTCAATCATATTCAAAAGGCCTTTATGGCCATTATTCTTCTGCCCTCGGAATCACCTGAAATTACTCTGGGCACAAGGTACGTTCAAAATTTTGTTTGGTTTAATTATACTTGACATACAGTAAACTGCATGAACGCATAATAGTTACTATTTTGCGACAGAACTTGGAACTTCAGTTAATTAATTAACTAAATCAGTAAATACCGTAAACATGCGAATATAAGCCCTGGGCTTATATTCGTTCGTAAGCATTCAGTGATTGGTTTATACATGTGAGGCGCCATTAGTAAAGAAACAAGACGCTCAACAGAGCGTTAACTCACTGGGCCTGGGGCTATACAAATACGCACATTACCGTATATGATACATACTTGCAGTACACAGCTATTTCAATTAAAGTGCATACTCAGGCCTGATTAAGGGTAGCAAATCTTCGAGTTAAGCCCTTCGAGTTAAGCCCCGACCACGCCCATGCCACACCCATTTCCGTTGAGGGCTTAACTCGAAGTACATAACTGGAGTTAGGTATACTTCGAGTTAAGCCATCTAGAAAATAGGGGCTTAACTCGAGCAAAGTCAAACATTTTGTTCTTCGAGTTAAGCCCCAACGTTTGAAAGATGTAAACGAGTTACTGTTAATCTGATCCCAAACAAATTAAATTATCATTTGGATCGCGTTTCGTTCAATCACGGTTCAACTTGTTTTATTTCAGCCGACGTATTATATATATTAGGGACTTTAAGATTGACGTTTACGGCAAACCGCAAACGGCAAACTTCAAATCGTAATTTGAAGTCAACTGTTAGCTGTTCGAATTTAGAGCAACTTGTGCATAAAAATTAACAATTATAACTACATCAGTAATTATAATCAAAATCGAATCTGCATGCGATAGCTTTTATAGCTTTTACGTTACATGAAATCAAACCGAGTCCAGTGCTTTTTGGGACACCGGTATACAATTAGGCTCAGATTCCAGAAGTGGGCGAGTGGCGAGAACACAACGGCTGGAATCTGAGCCTAGTATACAATTTGATAATAGAGAGTTATAGATTGACGTTTACGGCAAACGTCAAACCGCTAACGAAGTTTTTGATTTTATAACTCTATTATAACAGCTTTTACACCGGTTTTGAAATATATTAGACAGTTGTTAAACTTGTGCTCTTTAGCAATGATTTAAGAAAGCAAATTAACCACTAGTCATGAATTCACCAAAGCAGTAAATTTAGATTTAGCGTTTGACGTTTACTTTGACGTATAAATTTCATGCTTTAACAACTACAAGCCCTCGTAGCAGTTCAAGCATGAAATTTATACGCCAAACGTAAACTTCAAACGCTAAATCTTAATATACTGCTTTGGTGAATACGTGACGAGTGGTTAATTTGTTTTCTTGAATTATTATTAAATACCACAAGTTTAATAATTGATTAATATATTTTAAAACTTGTGTAAAAGCTGTTATAATAGAGTTATAAATCAAAAACTTCGTCAGCGGTTTGACGTTTGCCGTAAACGTCAATCTATAACTCTCTAACATTTTAAGATTGACCTTTACGGCATAAAAGGTCGATCTTTATTCCTTTATTCAAGCTAAAAGTAGCTAAATCATGGTCCAATTTTTATGCACAAGTTGCTCTAACTTCGAACATGTTAACAGCTAACAGGTGACTTCAAATTACGATTTGAAGTTTGCAGTTATAGCGGTTTGCCGTAAACGTCAATCTTAAAGTTCCTAATATATATAATACGTCAGCTGAAATAAAACGTATTGAACCATGATAAATGACAATTTAATTTGTTTGGGATCAGATTATGTACACAGCTCTACCTCACTTTATAGACAGAAATCAGATTCACCTGTCACATTACATTAGCTAACTTGTACAGTTGAGCTGAGCAGTGTCTGCCATCCCTAAAGAATTTTCAAGGGTCGAATTGCAGGTTGCTGAATCATGCAAATTGGTTGTCGAGTTTTGATTAAGATGAGGTCCCCTAAGCAGAGTTTTTTTCAGGATTTTCTCTTGGCCGGGTCCGTTTTTGCAGAGAAGATTGAGTTTAGCTGAACAGCTGGGGGTCTGAGGCGGCTGTCTCCCCCATCCCTCTACCGGAAGGCTAAAACCTGTACCCACTTTAGTGTAGTTGAGATGCAATGTCATAGGCGTACCGGGCGGGGGGCGGGGGGGTTGCGGTAGCCCCCAGTTTGTTGGGCAGTCATGAGTCGGGCAATTTTGGTTTGCAATAAAAAAAATGGGACAAATTCTGTAAATTTTGTCTAAAATTAAGTAAATTTTGTGGCAAATTTTGTGTTTTTTGGAAAATTTGTCTTATGTTCCGAAAAATTTTGGTTGTCAGGAAAATTTTTTTGACCCTAAAATGGTACACTGACCGAAATTTTTTTGACGAGGGGGGGGTACTAGTCGGGCACAATCCCGAAAAGTCGGGCAATTTTCTTTCCGCCCCCCTAAATTTTTCCTTCCGGTACGCCCATGTGCAATGTGTTGAAGCAGTGGCACTACCCACCGGGCACACGACGTTGTTTCAACGTTGAAATTTGGTAGAAAAAAGGTTGCGACGTCGACTACCTAATATCTACGTTGCTCTGACGTTGTTTTATAAACATTGGTTCAACAGCAGCCAACAGACGTTGAATTAACGTTCATTCATGGTTATATGTACGACGTCGATTTGTGAACCAATCTCAACGTTGTTTTAACGTGGATTCAACGTTGAATTATGGTTGACGAGTTTGGCAACCTAATTTCAACGTTGTTTCAACGTCGAAACAGTAACGTCGATCCAATTTGCATAGTCAACCCTTTTTCAACGTCTATCCAACGTCTGGAAGGTCATTTCCAACGTTGATTCAACGTTAGATAAACGTCATTTTGCCCGCTGGGTAAGGGTCACTATAAACTGGTTAAAGATGGTGAATGCGTTGTTTTTCTTGTGTTGTGAAATGAATTCCAGCCATTTTTTACTTAATTTTCGGGTTTTCAACTGAAAACTAATTTGCACACGTCATGAATTTAACTCAAACAACTTCGTTTCACTGCACAGAATCTTTTGATGAGAAGATTGAGTTTCAAAATCCAATTCGAGATCAGTTGAGTTTTTGGGGTCGTTTTACGGCCCTAAAAAATCCCGGAAAAAACCCTGCCTAAGCCTGCTCCACAGCTATGAACTCTTTGGCAAAAAAGTCCAATTTCTGCCTGCTTGTGCTTTTATAGTGAATTTACTGTTTTTGCCAAGAGAATATGGATCCACAAAGACTGCGTATAGGGGTCCCTAGTAATCCCAAGTTTCTTCTGGACTGGACTCATTTCTAAGGCTTGGTCAAGACAGTTATTCACTATAAAATTACTCGCAATGAAGAGATTGGAGCTTTTTGCCAAAACGTTGCCTGCAGTCAGAGGTTGATCAATTACTAACTAAGATAAAGATAGATTTTGGCTATTTTTATGTTTCACACAATAAAATCATAAACCTTACCTACATCCATCCCCCAAATACTAATCTGGGGTTAAATCAAAACTTCAAATCTCAATTAACCACCAACCCGCAAATTCAACAGGCAATTTGCACCTCCAGGGTAAGGTTGAGCTTTCGAGTTGCTGTTGGGATAAAGATTAAAGACCCCAACAATACGAATTGGATATGGTGATATGCCGCACTAGATTTAATATTTTATGGTCGAGAACAAGTTAAATAAACTAGCTAACCTGAATGAACTTGCATTCTGCTGCTTAATTAGACCTGTAAAATAATTTTCCCTTGACATATAATCAAAATTTCAAGTGCTATAGGTGTTAAGGCCTAATTATTGTGTGGGTTCCAGATTTCCTACCTGAGTTCTGGGTACACAGCCACAATGCAGTTGTGCTTGCCGAAATTCCATGTTGATTATGATCTAGTTAGATGAAAATTTATTTCATTGTGTGGGCAGACATATGTTGAGCAATAGAAAATAAATTTATTTTGAAGTTGGAGCTAACTAGTCCTTAGACTATGGGGGTTGCTCCATGACTCCCTAATCTCTGCAGCCATGTTGAATTCTAGTCAGTCTTACTCTGTATACAGTTGTGGTAGTGCTCAAAGAAGGAGGCTGATGCTTGCATAAGTTATTGATGCTTGAGTAATTCTTCAAATGGCATATAAGAAACACACCTATTTTTTCTTGCAAAAGGTTGCTACAGGGTGATATTGGGCGATATTGGTGTTTGGTCTGACCAATATTGGGTTCTTTATAAGCTTAAAAAATGTTTGGCAATTTACTTTTTTTTTAGACATTTGTAAAGGGCATGGCAATTTAGGATGAGCCAAAAAATTCCCTGGATAGAGGTACGTAAAACGTATTCAAATAACTTTAATCCCTTTTTTATTGCTATCATTACTAATAATGATAATTATTCTTATTGTTGACCCATACAAACAAGCAAGGTTTGTGCTCTGCCCATTTTTCTGTGACAAGTACATTGTATTAGCTTTTCAACAAGTGCACTGTCTTGTCATAGAAAAACATGGCAAAGTGCCGTGGCCGGGGGGGGGGCAAGGGCCATGACTCCCTATTGTTGAGACCTGTCGGAAAATTGGAAATTTATTATGTTGTCGGAATCTTCATGATCAAGCATACCTGCATATACGAGCGGGATTTTACTTCTCTTCGTTGTTTGACAATGCGGAACATGTTTGAATAAAAAATATACAGATGAATTATTGGAAGTTTAGTTTACGTTTACTCAGTTTACGTTTTCCCAATAGACGTTTAATTAAAGAATAGTCAATATTTAATTCAATATGACTTCATGTATTATGTATGTCGGAAAAAATTGTGTTTGTCGGGAAAATGATGCCCTTGGCCCCTCCCCCTAAAACGTGGGACCCACGACGCCCCTGGCGAAGTGCCCCAATACAGACGTGCAAATATAACCTGCCATATGAAAACTTGTCATAAAGATTTTACTTGCTCGTGTGTAAGCTCGTCATAATAGCTGGACGTGTACAAGCATACAGTAGTTCAAATTCCACCTATCTACCGTAATATTTTGTTCCGGTAGTTTTTAAAATGAGGCCGACAGTCCATTACGCATACGTACATTGGCGTCTCTAGCTCGTGATGCAAATAGCCAATATAGTTTAACTAGGTTGTATGTTCTTACTAAGCCTGATCGCGTTACGTTCTACTTAAATTTTGCACAGGAGGGTTCGTCCCCCTACAATAGATAAGATGTGAATGAATTTCCTATATACTGTACGTCGTGTGTTATGAATATACAGAGTGTATCAAAATAAACGCAATTCATCTTTTGTGCTTAATAACTTTCGAAATACTATTTCTAATTAAACGCTTTTAGGCTTACTTCAAAGCCTGTTCTTTTCTCTTTCAAACAAACTATTATCCTTGTCTCCAATGCTAGTAATAATTGCACAGGAAAAGATTTAGTAAAACCTATCATTTTTAGTTGCTGTTTAATTATGCAAGTTTAGTATGTTATTGTTTAGTCGGTTTAAATGTTAGAATTTTCTTCTTTAAACTTTAATGTTGTCGTCACTACATCTGGAAAACCACGTAAGAACAAATTAAAAGTATTTTAAAAGAGATCAGGTTGTTTGAAAATCCTAAACGAATGCTAAAAATCGTCAAAACATTCTGGTGTCTGAGCCAGAGTGTCATCGAATTGCGATGTAATGTAAACAGAAATTGTAGCAAGTTGATGTCAGTCAGCTTAGATGGTCCAAGCCAAAATTATATCGCATTTGAAGTTTCAAACTGAGTTAAAAATAGTGGAAGAAAAGCCGTAATTATACTTATTGTTACAATCCATTTAATAAAATGCAACATTTTTTTGTTTTAATGAAAAAATCAGTTATTTTCATGAGAACGATTTGTTATTCCATCTCAATTTTTTTAATCTCCAATCGCAATAACGTAAAGTATTATTACCCGCGAACCAATGAGTCAAATTTAAGAAACAACCCACTGTTAGAAAGCTGAATGGCTACGCTTTAAAATGATTGTAAACTTTAACGTTTTCGTCTATTATTTGTTTAGCAATTTACATTTCAGTCGAGGATTGCGCTTTTTTTGATACACCCTGTAGATATAGAACTTATATGGTATTATAGAACTTATGAAAATATGATATACAGTCCTTTTTCTTTTCATTGTGAGCTCTTTTAGTTATTCCTCCTGATCATTTACCGGCTGGCTATTTATACCTCAATAAGTCATTCAAACTAACAAAAAGCCAAACATGAAACACATTTTTTGCAACATTTTTGCCGTTCAAGTTCTTCAGGAAATGTATTTCCAAACCTCGATTTTTAAAATGTTTACCGGGCGAGCGGACCCACCAAATTTTAGACCCCCTAGCTAACTTAAAATATTTCCTACGCCACTGTATAAAATAAACAAACCTGACACGTGCGAATGCATTCATTATAACTCTAACTTACTGGTAGTAACTATAAATGGAAATTTATTTAAATATCGACCCCCTTTTCAATTCTGGCTTATAATTTCATGGTTTAATTTCCCGGATTTTTTTTGGACTGATCTTATCATGCGGGCACACTGTATGAGCTGACTTGACCATGCAGGGCGCCCAGGGTGAATATAGACATATACCCTAACCCTAACGCTAACGCTAGATAAATATAAAGCCATGCAGGCACCTGGTTATAGAATTTCCACTTATAGCGGCACAATCTGGTCATTTCAACCACCACGTCGTGACTACTGCAAATCAACCAAAATCGACTGGTTAGTCTCATAAACAAAAATACCATTTAGAAAGTTTAATTAATCAAGAAAACAGATATGTAACCCAAATTGTTCTTTTTTGTTTAGCCACGAAATTAGAGTATATAGAATTGATTGACCTAGCTCAAAGTGCATGTCCTTATACAGTTATAGTTTTAAATCTCCTGTGGGTTTGTTGTTGTCTTCAGGATTAACTGCGTCGTATCCAGTTCGGTCAATATTACCAGCCCAGGAAGCTGCATTCTGTCTAGACATTCTATCAACATTCGACATTTTTTCAAGCCCATTTCCACTATTTCCTGCCTTACCAAACTCTTTTCTGCCACCATGATAAAACATAGGAATAGTATGGAAGCGGCCGCTGGGTTTTGGTGTTGTGAACTTGTTGTTGTCGTCCCACCAGTATTCGAAAGCGGAGGATCTTTCAAAAATGTGGCGTGAATCTCGTTCGGCTTCTATCGCTAAATTGGACTCGTAAGCGTGCAGGGACTTCAAACTACATGCTCGGCTGCTGGCTAAGGATTTATGCAAGTTGTCGTTTCTGGTAGATGGTTTTCGTTTGGAGTAGGTCAACTTGAACGGAGAGCCAGTTCTAAGGAGGTGATCACATTTGTTACGTTGATACTACGCACTGTATATACTATATACGCTAAATAGAGTTTATTTTAGTGTTCAGATCATTGTACTAATTTTGGCGTGATGAACAATTATTCAGATTTGTACGATGGAATGTAACCTTACACGTCGATTCTATTTTTAAAGGCCAAAATTTCCCCGACGTTGATACAAATTGACCGACATTATCATATAGGTTTATTGATAGTCACATATCTGAATAGAAGGTAAATAGAAGGAACAAATCTCCTTTACAAATTATGGTCAATCTGAAAACGACAAATGGTAAATATGGAACTACTGTACTGAACTGTATTTACGAGCATTTCGTGGATTTCATTATTTTTAAGATATGTCGAAAACTCCTTACTTACATTTTAATGAAACAACTTTCAATTTGTTTTCTCTGGCTGAATATAATTTATTCTAGTATCACTACATTAAAAGGCCTAGCAATCTGCCCCGTGATTTTGTAGCAGAATCTGCCCCGTGATTTTGTAGCAGAATCTGCCCGACTGGACATTGATTAGGGAGGGGTGCGCATCCCCTCCCCTCCTCTCCGGTCACGCCGTCTCGTATACGTCTATGACATGCAACCTTTCCATAAATCAACAAGAAAAAGCTATTTTTGCTAAAACATAATACATTAAACACGCTATAGAATAAGTTACATAATTGCATTAACTGCATTTAAAAACCTTACCCTAATTCTTTGTACCCTCGAACAGCTCTAGCTAGAACACAAAATGTGGTGATCATGAATACAGCAGTAAAACATGCCAGACTAGTGCTAATTATTATCCATGTTGGCAGTGACATTATCAGTATCTATAATATAATGTAAAGGAGAGATATTAAGTCTAGTCGGTACAGCATAGCTAGCAGGGAGGGTCACTTATAGTTTTATGGTGCTGAGATACCCGGATTTTTCAAAGGATTTTTTCTGTTTTTTTCGGAAAGAAATCGTGCTGGATTTTTGGGACTATTCCGGATTTTTTAAAATTTTTCCATATTTAAATTTTTGGACTTAATTGTTCTGAATTTTTTTCAAGCGAAAATTTTCAGGCTTTTCCAAACACCATCTTATATGACTTTCATTTCATATTTGAATAGTGATTTTAGTGATTTTTAGTGAAATACCCCTCGCTGAGATATGTATAGAGCTAATTCAACAAACATCGGTGCATGGAAAGGCGTCATGCCTACGCTACCACACTTAATACTGTACAAAAGTGTATTAATTAAATATTAAATTTTTATTTCTTCCCACGTTGCCCCCTTTGCTTTGGTCTGGTCGCGTAGGCTAGAAACGTTTTACCAAGAACGTTAGTTGTTATATAGTTAGTGTCAAAGTTCAATTTTTCTGTTTGCCGATTGGTCAAAACCGTATCACGTGCCGGTCCACAAAACGTCATGTTCGGCAACCGGTCCGCAATGAAACATTTATTGACCGGTCAATAATAAAATGGGTGCAATACGCATGCGTGTCAACCATGAAGTTCCAAAGTTCATTTTTTAAACTTTTTACTAAACATTTTACTTAACGGCCTTCCTTTTATCCAGTTTTGGTTTCAAATTAAGCTCACTCCACTTTGACACATATATACTATATAACAAAACTCTTATTTACTGAGACCTCGGGAAAGCAGTGTGTTTTGTGGCCCCTCGACCGCTGTTGTTGCCCTCCGGGCTTCGCCTCGGGCAACGGCGGTCTCGGGTCCACAAAACACACTGTTTCCCTCGGTCTCCGTCAATAATCTCAACAAACTACAGTAGGAATAATATCGTAAGAATTTGTGTATATGTATGTAAGTATGTAAAATTTATTTAAAGACGCTAGCCTCATCAACACAAATTCCCTAGAAATTAAAAAGAGCTAGTTCTACTAATAGGCAATAAGTTGAAAATCATATGCAGGGTCGATAATCATAAACTTTAGCGCTAAGATCATTTGTCGATCCAATAGTCATAAACGTAGTTTTGGTGGGGTGGGTTGCAGTTTATTTCTTGCGAGCCAATTGCTTATTTGGTTCAGATCGGTTCAGATTGCTTATTTCAATCAGATCAGTGTAATCACATTAGAGGAAGAAAATATTTGGGAATCATGAACGTATAAACAAGGAGTAGTTTTTTGGAGGCTTTCCGGCAAGTCATTGAAAGTAGATATAATTAACAGAGGCCCTAAAATTGACCCCCTGTGAGATACCGCAAATTATGATCTTTTGGGGGGACGATGAGTGGCCATTAATGATACAAATTTGTTCAGTTGGTTGATTAGGTAAGATTTAAGACAAATTAATTCATTATTGGAGATACTAAACTGCGTTTCTAATTTATTTATGAACAGTTTGTGGTCACTTGAATCAAAGGCCTTACGGATATCTAAGAGCACAACTCTGTTTAATTTGCCTTGACCGCGTATTTTCGTTCTACTCACCACACATTTGTATCAGCGCAGACAAAGCCGAATTCTTAGGACGAATTCCTGCTTGATATTGAATAAAGACAAAATGCACAATTTTGTGCTACCACCATGTCAGGTGCAAGAAATTTTCTCCAGATTTTACATAGAGTGAAATTGAATCATTGTTGACATTAGTGAGTTTGAGAAATACGACGGTAACGTCAGCGTTTTTGCTCCAAGACAAATGCGACCATAAATTGTATTCCCTTGGCATTGAGCATTCTAGCATGCCGTAGTTGTTCGATCAAACTGCTACGTAACCACGCCAACAATCAAAACGGTAGATATATGTCGTTTGGAGAGTTTTATGTGAATTCACTGACTATTGCTGTTTTAAGGTTGTTTAAAGATAAGTACAAAATTAACCGAAGTTTATAACTATACTGTTAATAAGCGGGGGAAAATGCCGGGGTGGTAAACAAGAATTAGTTCGGTTGTAAAATGTGAACTGATCCGAGACCACCTGTTGATGTGGTAGAGTTTAGAGTGACTCGAATTGGTCTTGTTTTTAGTTGTCATGCACACTTGGCCCGATACGGCTCTGAATAAAATGCTACATATAGTGTGAACGGCCATCTGTACTGCTGTAGATCCTAAAATTCAAAACGAACCTGAGACAACTGACAATTTGTTGGTTGTCTTAACCAATTTGTTTCTACAGTGAAGGGATTATAGTCAATTAGTAAACAGATGTTAACCGCACAATGCGAGCTATACTTAATTGTGGACTACACTGCAAGAGACAGCTAAAATTTCACCGGTGCTTGACCTATACTGCAGCTATTCTGCATGCGTTTACTAAACTATCGAATATATTACAGTCAAAGGTAAAAAGTGTATATTAAAATTACTAATGTTTTCATTCAATTTCGTTTCAAACTGCAAATTAATTGAGGATTTATAGGTATACTGTGTGAAAGTGAGAAACGTAATCCTCTGCATGCCTTCAATTTTACTTACCTGCGCAAATAATAAAGTACGTAAGACTAAGAGAAATATCTCCTCGAACTAGAATTTCTGCATGTGACCGCGTATGTACTTCGACTATCAGTATATAGTACGAAGAAACTGATCAATTGATATACGGTGGACAAGAGAGCATATAATTTCTCTTGACTATTATCTGCGTGAATGGATTATTGCGCTATAGATAATGATCCTCGACAAAAACTAATGCTTGCCCTGCGTTTATTGCGTACAATACGACCACAATTAAAAATTACTTGCTCTCATTAGTATCCAATTCATTCAGTTAAGCCGGTTTTCCACTAGGCGGAATTTTGCGCGCGGAGTGGAAATTTTCTTTGTCTTGTGATTTCTCGGGTGGAACTAATTAGAAAAGACAAAGAAAGATTCCGCTCCGCGCGCAAAATTCCGCCTAGTGAAAAACCGGCTTTAAAACTATTATACAGGGTGTCCCAACAAAACCCCAAAACTATTGAAATAACGTATCGTTAGAATTTGAATGCCTCAGCATTCAGTTCAGAATGCGGAACCCATGCACAACAGCACAAGTGCAGCAAAGCTTGACATAAGTAAATTTTAATGTGCATAAAGAAACTGTTTAAGAAGCTTCATGCTTTAAATTCCCAAGAGCAGAAAATCATGCGCTTTACAAAGATATTTTAATTTCTTTATAAGTCAGTATTTAATACATGCGTCTAATTTGCGTTCAGCTTAGTGCTATAGGGCTTTCAAATTATTTGAATAGTATTTCAATACGTTATTTCAATAGTTCTTTTGGGACACCCCTGTACAGGGTGTACTGTATGAAAAAAACGCAACCTCGGAATTTCTTAAGAAATCCACTTTGCAATTCTTAAAGCCTGGTTCACATTGATCGTAAACATCGGCGATGCCCATTGTCGGTGGTCATGCATTGATGCATAAAATGTTTTGTGCATTTTCTTCTTCGTTGCTCACAGACAATGGATCGTAGAACATCGCCGATCAATGTGAACCAGGCTTAAGCCTGGTTCACACTGGTCGTAATTATCGGCGATCTATTGTATTCTTTTCCGACAGACAAAGCATTTTACACACCAATGACCGCAGACAATGGAAATCGCCGATTCTTACGACGAGTGTGAACCAGGCTTAAAGCGTAAAAGATTTTAGGTCCCTGGGAATAGACCTTTCCCCTTATGAGTGAAATTTTGATCTAAATATGCCTGGACAAAAATTTCATCCCAGCTTGAAAGAGCATCACAAAATTAGTAATATTCCGAAGTTTCGTTGCGAAATGTTGTAAAATGCGGATAATATAGCCTTGCGAAGTTTGCCGTTTTTCAGTCATTTTGCATTTATACAAACGGGAAATTGATAATCAGATGATCAAACTGATTATCAATTTCCCATTTGTAATACAAATGCGCGAGAGACAAAATACAAACAATATTTAATATTGAAAAAAAGTTGGAAAATGTCCGAAAACGCCGAAGAACCGTCACACGGAAAAGAACTCGCACTTCGTGCTCGTGTTCCTATACGCAATTTCTCGTTTCTCCCAAACTTCCACGCGAGGTTCTATAACTAGAAACACGGAAAATGTTTTCTCTTTCTAACTAAATATGACCGCGCTATAAGAGGCTATTTTCATGGCCAGGAACATTTAAACGTTTCATATATGAATATATGATATATCTACCGTGATAAATTTAGATTTACGTTGCATGGTCGTCGGCCATCTTGTTTGCGTGATCGCCACGAATGGTTTTCGCGAAACATATCACGCGGGTAATATGATACGAAATTTTCAATGTGCAACAGAATCAAAAACTTGTTGCGAACTCTATATGATGCAATTAAACTAATTAAGGAAACAGCATCAAACATTTTCACGGACAGATTTGATAAATTTAGACAAAGATATTGAGACCCCATGCAGTTAAGTTTCGCTGTCCACAATAAAACTATGAATAATGCTATAGCAACCCAACAAAACTCTGGTTAATTTCAATACCAGATACGCTCGGTTGAACGCCCAGAACATGTTTGTATCATTTTTGTTATACCTCGACGTCAATTTGTAATGTGTTCGTATATCACTATATATTGTGGCTATCTATAACTGTTTGATAACCTGGATTTTAGCCTACAGATTAGCATTTAAGGTAAGTTGACATGTTATATATGGTGTGTAGGAATTACGTTTTTGTCGATAATGTCCAATGCAATGTATTGCTGCATGCATGCTGACATAATAATGACAAATATTCAATACAAATAAACTTCTTCACGATCATATATTCTACAACACAACTTATGTTAGAAGTGCTATCAATTTCTTAATGGTAAAAAAACTTTCGATCACTAAGTGAGATAATATAAACAAGGTTATTGTAGAGGTTATACCATACAGTATGACATCTTTATTCATGCCTACAACTTAACTAATGATGCTTCCTTTCTATCACTTAGCTGATTAATATATAAAGAGTTGCTGTTGGACACTACCGATAATCTATGAAGTGATTTAATCTCTGAAGATTGGGGAAACGCAAATATAAGCCAAGTTGGTCTTGAAGTTTCGTTTTAAGTTTTAAAATATATAGGTTTTGATATAAAAATATGTTATCGTGGTATGGTATCAGTCTTGCATTTGGAATTATCTGTATCCCATTCGCTTCTGTCATGATAGCATATCTTGTGTGGAACACCAAGCGATTGATAAGTCAGTGAGTATTAGACCATCAAATTATTTTAATCCAAATAATGAATTTCGAATTTGAACTTAATACTTCACCGTAGTACTATTCTCTTAATTTAAATTAAATAAGGTTAGAACGTAAATTTTAAATGAGGTAAAATTTCAGACTGTAGCTATAATCCACAATTTCTAGTGTGAATTCAAAAACTAGTCAAGGTCGTTTGAAACTCCTTAGTTTATGAATGCTTTCTTCAGAATAGGCCGGAAATGGCTAATTATTAATAATTGTATATATGGCCTCGAATATAAAATTAGTGCTGCATTGTATGATAGTGAGTGTCAAAACGTTTAGCTCTATTTCTCTATAGCGGCTCCCACTGCATGGTTAGTTCCTAGAGGCAATTTCTGTGTTTGGTAACGCATGTTTATACCACTGCAATGCAGTTTATATATGCCAATAGTTACAGGTACCACTCTTAGGCCGTGGCGAGGCTTGGAGTTCATGCTGGTCATGCTGAGCGTGAGTAAAAAATTTCAAAGCATTTTTTTAAAATCCTAGATATACGTTTCCCCGAAAATTCACAAACGGTTTTAAATACAAATCCGGTGAGTTTGCCTTCATTTCGAGGCAGTTCGATGTCTAAATGAGACTCGCACAGTCTTGCCTGATCGCAGACTATAGGCCGTTTGCTGCGTCCCGATATCGTTCACTTTCGTAGTGCATGTGGTGGAACTGAAATATTTTTACGGGAACTAGCACTTTCAAACACGCTGAGTTCAAATCAGAAAAGTTCCCGCTCCGTAGTTCTTGCGTTTTCTCACAAACTATTATTTTATTTTCTCTAATTTCACGACTAGCTTTTTCTTTGTTCAATGACACGGATGGACGATGACACACTCTTATTCACTCAAAAGGACTAATTTCTATTAACTAGTCTTCCTTTTAAAAAAAGACCGTTTCGCTCGAATCATTTTGAGTTATGTAATCTTATGCGTGTTGAACGTAAACAACATATATCGTTTACAACTTTGGGAAGGTACAGATAACGCTATCTAACATACACAGTTCTAGCGATATCTCTATAAAATCACAAGGACGTTAATGCTAAGTCGTTTGGCTATGTAACTGGCCTGATAAATAGCTCGTTTAGCGCAATCATGGTATTTAAAACAACAGTAACGCAAAGCCAACGTAACGGCAAAGACAACGCTAACATGAAATATTGTCGATGGGTTGCTGGTTAAAGACTTACGACAGGATCAATCATAAATAACCTTAAACTAGAAGAATAAATGTACACATTAAAGACAAAGAACAGTACGAAAGTATAAAATCTGCTCTGTAAACTTACATCGAAGTAGAAAAATGTTTCCGTGAGCTGTGTATTTGGTGATTTCAACGTATATGGAAGCCCTTTTCCCGATAATATTCGCTTATCGCGCAGATTGACACCAACTGATATAATAGTTCAAATGCAATGATAAGTTACCTCTTGAATTACGTCTCAGAAACTGTGTTGAAAATTTGAATGCTGACCCATTACATAAGATTACCGTTTTACATCGCGGTATAAACATTTTGATCGCATGCCAAGGAATTCTTTCTTAGCCCAGCGACATAGCCCAAAGACTTGACATTAACGTCCTTGTCAGTTTATAGAGATAGAGCCAAAACTGAGAATTTTAGAAAGCGATACCGGCACCTTCCCAAAGTTGTAGACAAGATTTGTTGTTTACGTCCAACGCGCTTAAAATTACGTAACTCAAAATGATCCAAGCAAAATGGTCTTTTGTTAAATGTAGAGACTGGATCTTAGGAATTAGTCATTTTGAGTTCATCATCATCCATCCGTGTCGTTGAACAAAGAAAAAGTTAGTCGTGAAATCAGAGAAAATAAAATAGCAGTTCGTGAGAAAACGCAAGGTCTACGGAGCGGGAACTTTTCGGATTTGAACTCAGCGTGTTCGACAGTGTTAGTTCCCGTAAAAAGATTTCAGTTCCAAGACAAGCACTACGGAAATCGTATCCTAGGCACTTTTCAAGGCCACAGCAAACCGTCTATAATTAATAACTTGTTAATAATAGAATTTCAAACCGAGTACCTACTGTGAGTAATGAAACAAATAACCGATTGATGACAGTTTTTCGAATTCATTTAATGAGATAATGCGCTCTGATTTCCGGACTTTTGCATATTCAATCCGCAAAAGTTGCAATTTTTAGGCTGTGCGGGTCGTCATGAAAGGTTCCTGACGGTGAGGACAAGGTTCCTGACGGAGAGGACAAGGTCCCTGACGGTGAGGACAAGGTTCCTGACGCTGAGAACAAGGTTCCTGATGGTGAGGACAAGGTTCCTGACGGAGAGGACAAGGTTCCTGACGGTGAGGACAATGTTCCTGACGCTGAGAACAAGGTTCCTGATAGTGAGGACAACGTTCCTGACGCCGAGGACAAGGTTTCTGACGGTGAGGACAAGGTTCTTGACGCTGAGAACAAGGTTCCTGATAGTGAGGACAAGGTTTCTGACGGCGAGGACAAGGTTTCTGACGGTTAGGACAAGGTTCCTGACGCTGAGGACAAGGTTCCAGACGGTGAGGACAAGGTTCCTGACGCCAAGGACAAGGTTCCTGACGCTGAGGACAAGGTTCCTGACGCTGAGGACAAGGTTCCTGACAGTGAGGACAAGGTTGCTGACTGTGAGGAAAAGGCTCCTGATTGTGAGGACAAGGTTACTTACGCTGACGACAAGGTTCCTGACGCTGAGGACAAGGTTCCTGACGCTGACGCAAGGTTCTTGACAGCGAGGACAAGGTTGCTGACGGTGAGGAGAAGGTTCCTGACGCTGACGCAAGGTTCTTGACAGTGAGGACAAGGTTGCTGACGGTGAGGACAAGGTTCCAGACGCTAATGAAAAGGTTCCTGACGCTGAGGACAAGGTTCCTGACGCCAAGGACAAGGTTCCTGACGCTGAGGACAAGGTTCCTGACGCTGAGGACAAGGTTCCTGACAGTGAGGACAAGACTGCTGACTGTGAGGAAAAGGCTCCTGATTGTGAGGACAAGGTTACTTACGCTGACGCAAGGTTCTTGACAGTGATGACAAGGTTGCTGACGGTGAGGAGAAGGTTCCTGACGGTGAGGACAAGGTTGCTGACGGTGAGGACAAGGGTCCTGACGGTGAGGACAAGGTTCCTGACGCTAATGAAAAGGTTCCTGACGCTGAGGACAAGGTTCCTGACGCTGAGGACAAGGTTCCTGACAGTGAGGACAAGGTTGCTGACTGTGAGGACAAGGTTCCTGATTGTGAGGACAAGGTTACTTACGCTGACGACAAGGTTCCTGACGCTAAGGACAAGGTTCATGACGCTGACGACAAGGTTCCTGACAGTGAGGACAAGGTTGCTGAGGGTGAGGAGAAGGTTCCTGACGGTGAGGACAAGGTTCCTGACGTTGAGGACAAGGCTCCTGACGATGAGGACAAGGTTCCAGATGCTGAGGACAAGGTTCCTGACGTTGAGGAGGTCCCTGACTGTGAGGACAAAGATCCCGACGGAGAAGATAAGGTTCCTGACGCTGAGAACAAGGTTCCTGACGCTGAGGGAAAGGTTTCTGTTGCTGAGGACAAGATTCCTGACGGTGAGGACAAAGTTCCTAACGCTGAGACAAGGTTCCTGACGCTGAGGACAAGGTTCCTGAGGCTGAGAACAAGGTTCCTAACGCTGAGGACAAGGTTCCTGAACCTGAGGACATGGTTTCTGAGGCTGAGGACAAGGTTCCTGACGCTGAGGACAAGGTTCCTGACGGTGAGGACAAGGTTGCTGACGCTGAGGACATGGTTCCTAACGCTTAGGACAAGGTTCCTAACGCTGAGAACAAGGTTCCTGACGCTGAGGACAAGGTTCCTGAGGCTGAGGACAAGGTTCCTAACGCTGAGGACAAGTTTCCTAACGCTGAGAACAAGGTCCTAACGCTGAGGACAAGGTTCCTGACACTGAGGACATGGTTCCTGAGGCTGAGGTCAAGGTTCCTGACGCTGAGGACAAGGTTCCTGACGGTGAGGACAAGGTTCCTGACGCTGAGGACAAGGTTCCTAACGCTGAGGACAAGGTTCCTAACGCTGAGAACAAGGTTCCTGACGCTGAGGACAAGGTTCCTGAGGCTGAGGACAAGGTTCCTGCTGCTGAAGACAAGGTTCCTGACGGTGAGGACAAGGTCTTGACGCCGAGGACAAGGTTCCTGATGCTGAGGACAAGGTTGCCGACGCTGAGGAGAAGGTTCCTAACGCTGAGGACAAGGTTCCTGACGCTGAGGACAAGGTTCCTGACGGGGAGGACAAAGTTCCTGGCGGTGGGGACAAGGATCCTAACGCTGAGGACGAGGTTCCTGACGCTGAGGAAAAGGTTCCTGACGGTGAAGACAAGGTTCCTGATGGTATGGACAAGGTTCCTGACGATGAGGACAAGGTTCTTGACGGTGAGGTCAAGGTTCCTGACACTGACGACAAGGTCCCTGACGCTGAGGACAAGGTTCCTGACGGTGAGCACAATGTTCCTGACTGTGAGGACAAGATTCCTGACGGTGAGGTCAAGGTTGCTTACGCTGGGGACAAGGTTCCTGACGCTGAGGAAAAAGTTCCT